GATATGCTAAAACCACTCCTCAGAGACAGCCATTCCTCCCCTCACAATCACTATTTCTGGTCAGGGATCTGCTATATGTATAGCTTTTCTCTCCCAGCAGAAAGAAATTAATAGAAAATATGAACAAAATTAAGAAATGGGAAAATACAAAAATGATGAAATCATAAACATTTCTTCACAATGGAGAAGCCAAAACACATCTCAAGACTCAAGATTCTTTAAGTGGATGAATTACCTGCAAAGATAAGTGGATTGTAAGTCTCAATAGCATTGGTTGTTTGGTGATGATCACACCACAATTACTGCTTTTATTATTTGTTGAGTACATGTAACGTAAAATGAGTGAGCATGTTGCTTTATTTAAGAGTTTATAAGCTATATATTTCTCAAGAAGTATGTCAAATGCAAAGCTAGAGATGCAAAAAATAAGCAGCAGATTAGAACTACCACTTTTATTCCCAGATGCCCATGACTTTAAAAAAAAAAAAAAAATGCAAGGAGGATAGATATGTCAGAGTTCACCTAAGTTTAAGACATATGTTTGTTCCTGACAGCTCTTCATCACATTAGCTTACTGAAGTTCCCCAATTGCCCTCAAAAACTAGTGGCAAGACAACTACTACTGGGACACAAACAGAAGAGACAGAACTGGATGTAAGTTGGTTATTACAGAGGACCCTGCTCATCACTGACTTCTGACTTTCCAGCTGTAATCTCCAGAAATACTGATCATTTTTGAAAGGCCAATGTGAAATACAAGAAGGACTCAAGTGAGACTTTCTGGCACAGCACATGATGTAACCTGCATTCCTTCCAAAAAGAAGCTCCCTCAGAAGTCCCAGCCAACCTCCTCTTAGCAGCACTAAGTCTGTGCTGGTAAGAAGCCACTAAGTTTTACATAGCCTATAAGGCATGACTTAACTTCATAAAGCATTCCAAGAAACTCCGGTAAACCCAAGCTTTTTCAAAGCGGTATGTGACTGGCAAGCGCTGTCTAGCCTCTTATTTTATTCTCTGATATGGTGATAATCCTCCAGTTTAATGAGTATTAAACTGCTCTGATCAAAAATTCTTTTTCAAAGCTTATTTTCTTGTGTCTGTTCAGTTACCCTTAACAGGTCATATTTCAGCCTCTAAAATCACAGTAGAGGAACTTCCGGGGATTATCCAAGAAGAGAGCCTTATTCAGTGTATATTGTTGGCCTTAGGGAAGAATTTGTCATCTTGAAAATACTGAAGTAAAAAGAGCCCAACTTAGTAGCAAACAACTGTTTGCTGGCAGACAACTCTTAAGCTATTTTCTGTGTGATCAATTCACCAATTAAAACATGAGCACATCAATTCCTTTTATCTAATTCAAGATTTAAGTCATCCATCCAGCCTCCTTAAGGACTTAATATATATCCAGTCTTTACAACTCCTATTCAGAGAAAAATATCATCATACGAGGCAGATAACAAGAGACTAGTTACCAATAGATTATGTGACTCTCCCTCCTCAAGAATTCACAGAACATCTACAATAAAGCCTTGAACAGACTTCAAGTAATTTCCATCTTCATCCACTTTAATCTTCGTTACTATCCCAGACCTTGCCCAATACTCTGATCATAAGCTAAAAGTCCCAAAAAGTCACACATATTCCTATCTCAAGGCAGAGCTGACAAGACTCTGTGGGAAACTCCGTATTTGTTGGAGATTTCTATTTCTTTAGGAAGTGAGACATTTAAATAATGCCCCTCACTACAATTAATATGCAAGGTCATTAAGTGGGATTTGGATTCATAAGTCCAATTAACATCAAAGGAAGTGGAACAGCAAAATAGTCTCATTTAGTTCCCTAAAGATATACCCAACAGATCTCTATCAAACTAATTAAAGAATGACATTCCAGGCTGAAGGTCCAGTCACTGGGACTCCTTTGGGGCAAAAGTACTCCAGGTGCTCCCAAACATAGCAGGCATGTGCTATGTAAACTGCTACCAGACAAGTGCTAGAAACGGCTCCCATATAAATGCTGAAGCTAAAGCCCCTAATTAACTGCACACACATCAGAGAACTATAATGTGGTCTGCCTGGTGTTCAGTAACAAAGGTCCAACACAAGAGAGGAGACTATGGATAGGTCAGGAGCAAGCGAGAACACAGAAATAATCTACCTCAACACTATTTGTGGAGACAAGTATGTAGCTGATATAATACACGTTAAAAAACCCTTGAACTCAAATGGGTCATAGTCTGAGGAAATGCAAAAAGATACCTTGTCCTCCCCATTCTCACATTAGGATCACGATCTTACAAGAAAACGTTATGAAGAACCTCTAGTCATCTGGAACTGGGGTATCAAAAACAGCAAATGGTTTTCTTTTTATAATTAAAAAAAAAAAAGTGAGTATACAGTTTACACACTCTCATTCTTGTGAGCAGTCTTCATTCTTCAGTTCTAGAAGGAAAAGAACTTAAGCAAGGTCGCAGCCAACCTGTTAAATGGCAACAACATCACAACTCACTAGTGGAAGCAAGACACTGCTCTGTGGAGAAACAGAACAATACTGACTAGAGTACTTCCTTGATTCACTAATTTTTAACCAAGCCAGTATCTATCTCAACTGGACATGGCAGCTCATAAATCTGTTCTCCATCTCTATGCAGTATGAATGTGCCCTAGATCAAGAACTTCCCAAAATACCCTGTAAAGAAGTGCTGATGTCCTTTCTTTGTATCTACTATATTCTAAGGACACACCAAACTTTACTACTAAATAGGCTGGAACATCCTCCCCCCACATACAGTACTCAAAATTCAGCTCATAAATACATTTTTTCCTGAACTTTTTGCCACACTGCCTTTAACACTTGCAGTACGTTGTTGCTATGGATCTCAGATCTGAGTTGTGGATTAGGGTTAATTAATGGAAAGATTCACTCTAGTTCTAGTATTATGGAATATTCCAGAACACATTCCCATGCTCTGTTACTACACTTAAAAATATTATAGCAGAAAGTGTGAAGCACAGATGCAGATTCCAAGTGGATGAGCAGCCAGAGGCTGACCTGCATTACAGCAGGTGATACAACCTGCACCTGATATAAGTCGAAAGCAGGAAAGAGGCATGGTCAGAATGTCTCCATCCTGTATCTTAGCTGTATTTCTGGTCACAGTCATCACTTTACTTTCAAGGCTATTCTTTTCTAGTGTTAGGAACAAAGCCATTAGAGTGCTGCTCTTTAACTAATACCAAGCAAAGAAGAATTTTTATCTAATTTGCACATCATGCAGGTGAACTCCAGCCCAAGATGTGGCTCAGTGTGCTGATCTGGAGCCTGGCCGTAGCTTATTATCAGAGAGGGAAAAGTAAGTTCACCAACAGGTCCCACAACGTCTGAGGATGTGTGGTAGAGACTTACCAAGGGCCCCACAACAAAAGCTTGTATTTAAATTTTCCGGTGTACCTTCTATTTTCCAAAACATTCAGTAATAATGAGTGCATTGTTACTGACAAGTCTACCGTTAAGAGTTTACTTCACATCGGACACCTGTGAAGGCTTTAGCTTTATTTAAAACGATTAGGATTTACAGAGGAAAAAACACCCCAACTAAACAAATACATCATTAAGAACACTGGGGGAAGAAGAGAAAAAGGTAGACATATCGGTAAAGAGGTAGTAGGCAAGTGAAACAGGAAGTAGTGTGGTAATAGCTAGTTAACTAATTCACAGGGAATGACAATAGCACTTAAAAAGAGAGACCATAACGATAGAGGCTGATAAAAGGGAAGATGAAGAGCCAAGTGTTCTCCAGCCACGGTGACAAGCAAACATAATTCTAAGGGAGCTACTGGGAATTAGTCATCCAGCTGTTTCCAGTCTATGTTGGAGATGCATGTGTCTGGCATTGGTTATGTCAGACCTGTGCTACATCCATCCCTCACTTCATTGAGGCCTTTTGTGGACTAGAACTGATAGGATTTTAGAATGGCAAAAGAACTGCTCTTATATCTTTCCTATTTAGTGACTGCTTGACTGAGAGTAATATTGTGATAAAAAAATGGCACCTCTGTCGGGAGCTCATAATAGATACCGAGGAGGACTACGGGATAGGCCACACATCCAGCAAAACTCCTATATACTCTTTTATAAAAACTCAATAATCTCTGACTAAAGTACTTCTGAATAAAAAGGGGTACCTTTGCATCTGATAGACTTCAATCAATTTCTTCCATGGATTTGTTGATGTGCTTTTTGCACTCATGTAATTTTTTAGCATCCATTATGTTCTTTAATAAGGCAAGCCTAAATATTTCACATCTGAATGATTAGGCTGCGTGAAACAACATCCTTTTGTTTTAAACAGTGTGCTTGCTAGTTTCTTTTGATGATTCTCAATGGTTCTGTCAGAAGGGACAATGAATAATTTTGCATATCCACTTACTCCATAACAATCAGAATTTCCAAAATGAGATCTTGTGCACGTCCCCCATTTTATAGGTGTACAAATGGAGGCAGGAAGAAGGAAAAAGGCTTACTCAAGATAATCTAGTAGGCTAACAGAAGAAGTAGGCATAGAAACTGCATTATTTTAGTTCTTAGTCAGTGTCCTAGCTACATAATAACTTTTCAGTTTCCAGAATTTTTATTTTCAGTAAACAAAAACTGACTTAGATTTAAAAGAAAACAAACACACTGAGAAGGCTGGGAAACATTATCATTTATACTGAAAGCTGTAATTTAGAAGGAAAACTCTTCAGATCGTCAGGCAGCCCTCCTTTCTAATCAATGTCACCACTATACATACCCATTTTAACATATTTCATTCATGACCAGAGGCCAAGGGATCATCAGAAGGTTATCCACTACTATCAGCATAGACACGTATATCTACAAACTAAAGAAATCACAAAGATTCAGCCCCCTCCCTTGTTTACCTCACTTTTAATTCAATATTTTGCATCAATTTCACAAATACTGACAGCTCCACAGGATTCGACATTAAATGTTCTTACCTTAGCTGATATGGAGGTATCTTGATAGCAGCATCAGGAGAATCCAAGGTTTCTGTATAATCAAAGGAAACAACAGGGTTTTTAAAAGAAACTTCTGAGTTCAACCACAGTAATACATCTGGCTACAATCTCTGAACTAATGATCCTAAAGTTTACACCTACTTCAGCTGACAAAACAAAAATCACTGCTGCTCCAAGTCCACAAAACTTTGCATAAATTTGTCAGGAGCCTGGGTGCCCAATGAAAAGGTATGGAGTACCATCTTTTCCACTTTCACATATCAGCACTTCGGCAGCACAGATACTAAAACTGGAACAGTATATGGGATATCTGCATGGCTTCTGTGCAAGAGTAACACACAATTAATGAAGCAATCCATGGAACATCAAGATGAAAGGCCAATAATAAGACAGCAACAGGTATGAATTATCACAGAATGCTGTAGCTATGTATGGAAGAAAAATAAAAATTTAAAGTAGTTGAAAGTATCACAGTTATGATGATGTAAGTTAGGAGTCTTGCTGACGAGTGCTCCAGGTTCCTAGCGTCAAAAAGCACTTCAAGCCACAAACAATCTTGCAAAATGGGGGGATGCTGAAATGCATCTAAGCTTGTATTCCCTTAAAAAATGAACTCGTTATACTGATCACTTGCATTATACAGCAAGGATAAAAGAGCTCATGGAATCCAGTAAAACAAAACTCCTAGCTTTTAAAATAGATTCCCGAACACAAGCCAGCAGTAAAAACTATGCTGGATGGGTTTTTTTTTACGATGATTTAGGGGAAGGAGGATGACTTAAGGAAAAGACAGCCCCCCCAAAACATACAGGGAAAGTGACAGCTACTGATACCCGTATCTGCCTGGCAAGCGCCACGAAACAGACCCAGGAGGTGGGGAGGGCGAAGGACACGGATATCCTCCGGGACCGGTAGCAGGTGCCACGGCCTCTTCCAGCAGCGCGGAGCTCCCGGGCATTTTGAAGAGCCCGAGGCGCTCCGGTCGCTCCCCACTCGCCGGAGGCTCAGCGGCCGGCGCGGAACAAGTTTGCTGAGGTCTCCCTGCCCCCGCTGTTACAAAACCTCTCCATCACCGGCTCCTGCCCCGCTCCGCTCCCCGCGGCAGCCCGGCCGCGGCGGGGTCAGCCCGCGCCCCCCGCCCCGTACCGATGGCCCAGGTGCAGCTCTCCTTGATGGCCCTGTGCTTGCTCCCCGACGCCTCCTTCTGCAGCTTTCGCAGGATTTCTTCCATCTTGCCTCCCTCGGGATCTTCGCCTAGCCGCGGGGGAAGAGAAGCAGGCGGCGAGCAGGAGGAGGAGGAGGAGGGCGGCGCGGGCGGCAGAGCCGTGCCGGGGCTGCCCCCGCCGCAGCAGTGCCTACGCGGGAGCGGAGCGCGGCATCCCGCTGCCGCCCCGCCGCCGCTGATGAATCACGCCGAGCTCCATGGCGGGGACACGTCAGTTGTTGCCGCTGCGGAGTCCCTCCTCCTCCTCCTCCTCTCCCACCCCGGGCAGGCCCCGGTGGCGCAGCGGGGCTGGGGCCGGGCCTGGCACTGCCCACGGGAGCACAGGGACTCCCTTCTCGGCGGGAGGGCGGAGAACCCTTAGAGCAGGGCCGGCGCCGCCAGAGCCGGACCCTGCGGCGGCAGCAGCCCCGCGGGAGGCGCACGGCGCGGGCAGGCGGGTCGCCATGGCGACCGGCGGCGGGGGGCGCCGGCAGCCCGGCCTGCCCGCCCCCGGGCAGCGGGAGGGGCGCGCTGGGGCCGCCTGCGCCTCGGGCTCCGCGCGTCCAACGGGGCGCTCGCGGGGTCGGGCGGAGGTGTTGCTCCCGGTTCCGCCCGGCCACCCTGCTGCTGAGCGCGGCCCGGGACTGCAGGGCAGGATTCCTGCTCCCCAGCCCTGCCAGCCTGGCTCTCCGCTCCCGGCAGCGCTGCCGCAGCGCAATCCCTCCGGCCCGCAGCGTCCTGCGGAGCCGCGGGCGCTGTCGCACCGGGACAGACACAGGGAGCCAGGCCTGCACACCGCCGTGTGTGCCGGCTCTGGTTATCCCCTGAAATGACTAGAGTCAAATAAATGGCCGTATGCCCTGCGGGATCTATGCCTCTCTCCCCAGCTGGCAAGTGCAGAAGGTCACGACTTGTCACTTGTCTGTGCCTTGAAAAGAACGCACACCCATGTGCCCCCCATCAAGCCATCCCCCAGGCGAGAAAACAGCCACTCCGCTAGCTCAGACCGTCCTCCTCACGCTCGGAATGCTTCCTACCCACCAAACCTCCTGCCTTCTTCAGTGTGCTGTTCTTTTGCCGTATCTCTAGTTTATACGGTACTTGCCCTTTTTGTGACTGCATCGGTTAATTGCGTGTTACAATGCCGTTGTCTTCTCGCAGAATCTCTCTAAAAAGATACAAGAGGACAAGCAGACAAGGAAAAAAAACCCAAACAGATAAGAAAGGCATTCCAGGTATCAGCTGGCAGTATTAGCGGTTATGTCTCCTACTGCTAATTGGAAGAGTACCAATTGTGAATTACCAGGCAGAATGTTGGCACCTGGTGAATCAGCCATAGCATTTCCCACAGGATATTGGGCTCTCAAAGGCTGTCCCTTATCCAAATACTTACAAGGGCTCATCCTGTGTTCAGAAGTATAATGAATGCATAATCCATAGTCATCTTTTAAGGCCAGAATGTAAAACTCCTCTCTGAAGAAAATTATTTAGAATGATGCCAGAAAGGTCTAGAGGTGGATAGGGAATGCCTAGTGCTACAATAGTAAGGATTAAAAAGACCAAACGACCCAAACAAAAAACCCCACCCAAATAAAAAAAAAAACAATCTCTAACAGAAGTACCATTAAGCTTCCAATTTCAGGGCATAAACCAATCTCCAAGAAACCAAAAGTACTTTCCCAAAGTTTCTTATCTCTGCCCATGGTCTGCCACCTTCTTTGGAATGAAAAAAATGGTGATAGCTAGTTTGTCCGGGCACTATGATACTATAAGTCAAGGCTCAAGCTGAAGTGGTGATGAATTGTTTCCCCACCTATGTCTTTCCTCTTTATTCTGTGTTGTGCTTAGAGCAAATGAGCATGAGGGTCAAGATCTGTCTTTTCAAGGCTTTGTTTTTATTTTTCCTTGGGGGAAAAACCAAAAAGGACTGTGGTGGTGTTTGAGGTATTTTTAATGTAGAAACAATGTACCACAGTTCATCTGGATCTCTGAAACGCTAAAAGATAAATATGTATCTATAAGTAGTAAATAATTAATTGTTTATTTTCAGGGAACCATTGATGAAACTTAATTAATTTTTAATTTTAGACTGTTTTCTAACTATATGCATCATCAATTCACTGGTTAATTTCTCTGTGGTCTCTACGGGAAGGCCTTTGCAGCTGGAATCTTCACCAGAGCTAGTGTTTTCATAGATGCTCGATGTCACTGAAAAAAAATTTGTATTTGTTTGTATTTCACCTGCTGTCCAGTGTCTTCCAGCAAAATGGGTTCTGTGCTGCTAAACACTTTTTCTCTGTAGTTATGTCATCGGATTGAGAGAAACAAAGGGTATGTTCAGGCTCTCTAGTGCTGGTAAGATTATGCAGATGGAAAAGGTAAGCCATGATGACTCTTCCTGAGCATGTCAGAGTACCATGAGTCAGCTTGTTGACACTTTTACTGTGAGGCCCTCCGTTTTGATATGAACAGGACTCCATCAATCCTTGAGTCTGTTGTCTGTAGTAATCACATAAATACACAGTAACCATGTCCTGCTGGAAGTCAGTCACTTTTGCTTAGGGAATACTTTTGCTTAGGGAGAAGGTCATGTTTAATCATGTGCTTTGGACTCCCCTTCACGGCAAGTGGCCTTGAATGTTACAATATCTGGAAGTCCAGGTACAGAGTAGGGATGATGGTGAAGAAACCTCCTGTCTTCTGCCATGAAGAGACAACTGAGCTTTCTATGGTCACTCTTGGAGTTCACAAGTCCTCCTTGCCTTGTCCTGGCTGTTGAAAGCCAGCGTCCTTCTACAGTGGTAGAGTCTACCTAGGAGTCAGTTCTGATGGTTCCCTGCACAGCTGAAGCCTTGTCCAACTGGAAGTCAAAAGGCTCCTGTGCAGATCTGATATCTGCAGGATGTAGTGGTCATATATCACTAAGATGCAGTGGCAGATATGCAGTGTGCTTTTGTAACTCTCACCTAGCAGTGCTACTGATCTTTTGCATTATGTGAATGCTAATTATATCCTGGGATACACTCAGAGCTCTGAACACAGCCAAGAAGTGTGTAAGCAAAGCCAAGCTACTCAAAATACCCAGAGTAATAGAGTTATATTAGTACAATTCTCTGTCTAGGCTAGTGAGCAGTATTCGCTTGACTTAGAGATCTCGATGCTACCATGTGTCTGCTCCTTCCAGTAGCCAAGGAAGGCAATCTGGTCCTCGTTTAAATCTCTTCTGATAACATATAAACAGATTGCACACACCTACCCTATCATTCTAGTCTTTGAGGTCCTAAGAATGAACTAAAATATACAGTGGAAAAGTGTGAGACAAAGACACGTTAGACTATGAGATAATCACATATATTTCCTATTAGTTATGTATTCCCTCATGTATTCCCTGTGCTTTGGCCATTTCAACAATATGCTCGGTCAAGATCTCATATGCTGCAGATGCTGGAAGGTGTGCACCGAAGAGATGGGCTGTGTCCCTTGAGAACTTCCTTCAAATTGAATTACAAAATATTAAGACATTCCCTCTAATGACAGGAAAAACACCTTATTCCACGGTTCAAAAACATTGCTTATCCAGATTTTTCAAAATTAGTCTTTCCAGAAGCACCCCTATGACTGGACTGACCAGATTTTCAGAAGAAGCTTAGGCTCAGTTTTGCTCAGGAAGTTCTGTACACTTGAATCTCTTTATATAGGAAAAAATTGCTCAAAAAATTTGAAGCGAAGGGGCTGTAGGTGGAAGATGGGCTCATCAGCACCTTTGTGACGCCTCATACCAGATGGAGGTACCCTTCTTTCCCTCTCCCAGAAGGCAGCAAGACTCAGACAAGCAAGACCCTTGTCAGGATATGTTTTCGGTTTTGATTGTCTAGACTGTAAGGTTGTAGCCTTAGATGCTTAATAGAGTTAATTTTTAGATAGAATACTGTTAAATTAGAATAAGGCCTTGCTTGCTTATACTAACTTACAGACAAGATACGGTTAACTTTATAATGAGGATTCTAGCAGAAGCAGAGGCCTTGGAGTTGTGATAAGGAGCTTTGAGAGGGACCTTGTAGATTGATAAAGGGGGACTTCGAGAGAAGGAGACAAGATGAAACCGGTTTTGAGGTGAGTGGCCATTGTCAGCACCACATTCCTTGCAAAGGAAAAGGTCAGAACCGAGGAAGACTATTACTTCATCCAAAAAAACCCCAAATGAAGACCCCCAAGGGGCGTTCTGAGGTGGAGTTGGAGGTGTGATGTATGTTAATGATTTCCCCTCTCAATTTTCAGGAATTTGCTGACACAGCTAATGCATATGTAACACAACTAATGCATATGTAACATTGTATCACATAAAAAGGGCTGAACAAAGGGAGTAGGTGTGCATGTTTTGGCAAGGCTACTCCCCATGCACCCAGCTCTGTAAATAAACATACCTGCTTCAATAGTCTTTGTGAGTTTTGGGGTTTGTTTCCACAAGTCACTACACAGTGAATTACCAGAGGCTATCTGAGGGCTCAGTGAAATCCTTCCTGAGCTGGTGCTGCTTTCCACATCCTCCACAGCATGACCTTTCTGAGCAAAGACAAAGCACTGCAAAGCACATTGAGCATGGGTGCTGCTGAGTGCAGGGATTACATAGTTAGAGAGAAAACCCTCTGAAGTGGGAGCTTTGAATAAACCTAGCATATATTCAGAACTGTCTTTGACAGAAGTTAGGTGGACATTCTTAAAGAAAAGGTAGAAAAAATATAATGCCCCTTCCTCTGGTAAACTCTCCATGTCTCTATTAATTTGCAGACTAGGTACTTCCTGTGACAGTGGTTTTATCTTCATGTATTCAGTAATACCTGAAAGATTTTTCTTCTGGGATTGTATCTAATTCCTTTTGAATCTTATGCTTTTGACCTGCACAACCATCCCATGGCAGTAAGTTCCACAGCTGAATTCCATGCAAACAAAAGAAAATACTTTTTTTGTAGAGTTTTAGCTTCTTTTTCTTGGGTTTTTGATGCTACCTACCTTATGTGCTGTGAGAAGCAATGCATAAGCATTCCCTATTTTCTCCCCGCAATTCATGACTCTTTATACATTTGAGTGTCCTCCCTCAACTGTTTTTATTCTAGTCTACAATGGACTATGCTATTTAATCTTTCTTCCTAAATTACCTTTGGTCATACTGATTGCCCTTCTCTGTACTAATTCCAGTTCTTCTTTACCTTGCAATACAAGAGTTTGTGAAGAAGACTGAGTACATGGGAAAAGGTAGCCTGAAGATTTGAACTG